GCAGAGAACTCAGAAGGGTAGAGGGAAAATTATTTTTTCTCCCCTACTGACCACAATCAGTTAAAACTGCTATCTCTTTCCAATCCTACTTTCCCCTCCATTACACTTCCTCTCTTACCAGGTGACACTGGATTTGATTTGGAAATACATTTGCTTTGGTTTTAGTGGGAAATACTGATCTGGTTCATAGTAATTTCTAAGCAAAGTTATTACAGGCTGTCCTGGTTTAAGAATGCCTTCCAGGAATATCTCCTTCCCACTAAGTCAACACAACAAGGTATCATAAAATTTTATTACAGTAGGACTGAGTATCAGGGTACCTAGTGTTGGGTAATAAGAGAAATGAAGGAGAAACATGGTTTAACAAGGTTTGAAATGTACAGAACCAGAACCTAGTATATAGAAAATTCTTCCAATTAAAAAACATGTAAAAACTTGTAACACATCACTGATAAATTTGTAACATCAGGACCCATAAAAATGGAGGCCACCCTAATGGCCCAGCCCACATCATAAATCTAACCTAAATCAGCCTGCATTTACAGGAAATGCCTCACTCTCAAGGAAACCTAATGCCAATCATAATCCTCCAACTTAGCTGTAGCCAGCTCACCCAACCCTAGAAAGTAAGACCTGCCTGCCTGATAGGGAATCCCTGCCTCCTAGCCAACCATGCCTGTTCCCACCCCGCCTCTTCTAATGCCCCGTAAAACATGCCCTTGCCAAACATCCCCAGGGAAGGGAGCTCCACTGATGGTGAGGCCCTGTACTCCCCTAGTCCATGGACTGCTTTCCATTGAACAAAGGACATCAAACTGGTTACTAAATTGTAGGATCTTTGTCCTTTGACATCATTATAGAGGGAAGATATCAACAACAAGCTAGTTAACGAAGGTTATCAATTAAAATGCAAAAAGTATTTTAAGCTTACTGCACAAGAAAACGTGAAATGCCCTGGAATCTTACAGCTCATATATTAAAGAAACTTGGAAGGCATTTTTCCAAATTTGACAACAATCATACACTTTACATGACTTGGACAATAATGAGCTGCACAGTGGAAGGGAAGAGAGCAGTTTGGGTACAATATCAGATTTCAGCTTCAAGAAATTCACAATTAACTGGCATCAGGAATATAGAAGTAGTCAGGGTGGAAGCCAGTAAGTCTTGTTTTGTACAAGTTGAGTTTCAGATCCAAAGAGGACATCTAACTGGATCTGAGTAGAGAGGCTGGGGTTAGAAACATACTATCTGTAAGCTACCAAAATATAAAAAGCAGCTGGGAGCAGATGAGATGACCCTGGGAAACAGAGGAAAGATGGTGGGAGACCAGTAACAGTGATAGTTCAAGGGCTGGCGGAAGTAGGGGAGCCTTTAAAAATGGTAAGAACTGATCAAAAAGGCAAGAGGAAAAGTAAAGGAGGCTAGTGTCCCTGAAACCATGGAAAAAGTGAGTATGAAGGAAGTGGTCAACGGTGCCAAATACTTCAGAGGTCAAACTGTAAGAACTGAAAAGTCTCGTTGGGTTGGCAACTTAGTCAGCTGTGACCCCGGGGAGTAGAGCTGCAGCTGCCCGACAAGGCTGGTGCACTGAAGAGTGGGTGACCCCCAGCTTCACAAGACCGTCACCCGGTCACCTAGAAAACTAAGCTGTAAAACCTAACGGGAAGAAGTTTTCTACTAATTCCTTTAACTGAGCCCTCCCGGAGATCCCAGGAAAACAGGAGGGAGTGGAGTGGAGGGGACAATTCACTTGCATCACACTGGCCAGGCCAGAGTTTCCACCCTCCCTCTCTTCTTCCCAAACGCAGGGTTTCTTCCAGCAAGTAAACCGCAGGGGTTTCTTTCACCTTCCCCTTTCCCCTCTCACGTTACAACCTAGTCAAGTGCCAATGAAAACCAGAAGTCCCCAGGGGTAGTGGGAGGGGAGACACAGGTGGGAGGTGGGTTGAGGTTCAGGCAGGTGAAGGCAGCTGAAAGAAGGAAGCTGTTGTAATTACTGAAGTAAGTTAATGGTGGGGAGACCGAGTGTTTTATGCTTGAGCCCAATTCTATCAACAGAATTAATCAGACACCTAATTTACACTGACAGGACAAAATGTCACTGTCACAAAGCCTAATCTCAAAAAAGAAACAGTGAAAAGCATTCCTAAATTCACTGCACTGAGTTTCAAGCACACAATTCAAAAGTGAAATTTATTTTGCAGAGGAGGAATGGTTCAATTTCTAACACTTTCTAATACTTCTGTCAAACACAGTGAAGCACAACTTCCCAGCAAGAGACGTATTTCAGGCAGAGCATGACACTATCAATATATATAACCATCATATAGAACTGTTATCAAAAAATATATGGTGCAACCACTTTTTTTTAAACTTCTATTCATCTTGAGAGCCTTATGTCATCTATGTGTTCTTACTGAATAAATCATGAAGAAACTACAGAGGGGTTGATAACAGGGAAACTGTTTCACTTGACTTTTCTAGCGATACCGAAGTGTGGGCAAAACGACATACGACGTCAGTACTAAATTACCCCCTAGGTTCACAGATGCTCAGTTGCTGCAGAAATATAATTACACTACAAAGAAGGAAGAAGTAACCACCACCGAAGCCTTAGAAAGCTTTGTCTTAATTTCAAAAAGGTATTTGTTACAAAGAGATCCTGTAAAATCTTCCAAGGTGCTGATGGATGTTTTTGTCACTGTTCGTTTTGGGTTTTTTAAAATTAATTGGTTAGAAAAACAGACTGTTAGTCCTTGATGACAAACACTGACTTGCTTTGTGCAGGCTAAAGACTGCCTTAATGCCAACAGCTAACAGTGAAAGAATAATAATTGCTTAGAGAAGCCAAAATATGCCCCACCAATCAAAAAGGATAGTCAAACTGAAAAAAGCCACTTTGGAAACTGGAACCTCTGAATTTAAGTTAGTAAAAAATCCCACTGTAATAGTAATTTCTTTGTGTAGAAGTTTTTTTCCAGTACTGTAAGGCACTCACATCTCTCATGTGACTCTCACAAATGAGACGTTGGAGAGGGAGGCCATTATGACACCACGTGTAGTTATTCAGTGAAGTGAAATTTCTAGAGCACCAGGGGCCGAGCTCTCACTGGCACGCTGAACACAGGCACCCCTCAGGGGCGCCGCGCAGGCAGGGAGCGGCACGAGGCCACGGCACACACCAGTGAGGCTCTTTCAAGTGGATTTCACTCCAGTGTGGTTAACATGTGGCTAGATCAACGAACAGACCCAACTCAGTATAACACATAAATCACCTTTGTAAGGTATAAAACTTTCCACTTCTCATGGCTCTCCTAACAACCCACACTGCCTTACCTACACTCAGCACCTGTGGAGAAAGAAACAGCAGAGACATAAAAAACGTGCACGTGGTCATCCGATTAGTTAGTAACTGAGTAGAAAGAGGGATCCAGGTCTCTACTTTCCTAGTTTCAAGCCATTACTCCTTAAACAGAAGACAACATAGTACCAAAGAATTACCCACAAAGCCAACAATGAACTAAGAAGGGAAGAGACAGCTAGACCTGTTTCTAACTCGTTTTTCACAGAATACTAAAAAAAAAAAAAAGTATGCCTGAAGAGCCCAAACAGGCAAAAGGAACAAGAGCTCTCTCACCAGAGTGCACACATGGTCACGCAGGCACAGAAAGGCTAATGTTTCTAAGGAAAAAAAAAAGCATCAATGCCACTGCAAAGCCTACAGTAATAATAAATGTCTGAAAATCCTGAGCAAGATTCTTGCAAGATTATTAACTAAGACAAACTGCCAGAAAAATCTACATGGTCAAACTAATTTAATTTAAACAAAGTATTAGACCAAAATGGCAACTTCAAGAATGATTAAGCCCCAAAAGCTTACAAAATAAATACGGTTGACCTTTAGAATAAATATTTGCCTTGAATTCTACGATGAAGGGTAGCACCTCATTAGATGAATAGCCTCCCCACTTCTTTCAGAAATACAGCTCTTAAGTTTTCACTAAATTCCATGTCCTGCAACTCAACACATTAAATGTAAAGTGCAACATTTCGTAACAACAGGAATACAGAATGACAGGCTTCAGTTATTTTTTCCTGCATGATCCTTAGTAATCAAAAACCAAAATTTGACCTCCAGCTCTCTCCTTCATCACAATCACTAAACGGTTCTTAGGACCCAGTTTTCTCACCAAACAATAAAATCATGTTTTCTCTACGACACCAACATTCTAAAACACAAAGAATGTAGCAGTCACGTTGCTAATGACGTAGCCACCAAGTACTGAGTGCCTCCTGTGCGCCACAACCTGTGCCATTAGTTTTCCAGGTGTTCTCATTTAACGCCTAAAATAAAACTCACAAAAGAGAAGTGACTGAGTGGGCCACCCAGCTAGAAAGCAGCAGAATCTGAGTACGAACTTAAGTACATCTAAGGCACTGTTGTTGCGCTGCTTTTACAAACTCAAAACAAGCACATACAAGTCCTCGAAGCACCAGAACTGACTAAAGGAGGCTAGGAGAACAGCGAGCCTAAGAGAACTCAACAATATTCCACCCCTTTGTGTCTGTTTCTCATAGAAGCCTGCAAGTGTGAGAGCAACTAGATGACACAGGAAGCAACACCTGCACCTTAGCATGGTTCTTTAGAAACTGTAATGGGTGTTCTTAACACCTTTTTAGGAATCTGATGAAAGCTATGGATCTACTTCCCAGAGACGGACATACAAAAGTTTTGCATCATTTTAGAAGGTTCAGACTCCTAACATCCACCTACATATTTCAATTTTAAAATTCTCAATAGATTGAGCTAAGAATCAATAGAATGAGGTTTAAAGAGGGCAGACAGATACAAGAGTTCTTTGGAAGTTGTTTTAAATGTTAGCACAACTCTGTTCACGTAAATGATCCTCATTTTAATGCTTTTGACAAATCTATTGCAGAGAAGAGACCTGACCAAGGGAAAGAAGGGAGTGACAGATGCCACCACTGAGACTTACCGTTTTCCTGCACAGTTCTTGTCATTCAGGCCACCAACCTTGTTTATGGCAGACCAGGCTGTGAGGGCCACGTACGGCAAAGAGGCAGCTTGAGTATGAGTGAGGGACTTGGGCTTGTGAGAGACCTAGATTTGAAGACAACAGTCAAAAAGAAGCAATACTTGCAAACTTCTAAACACAATTATGTACGTTTACCTTCATAGAAATCCAATTATTTTCAGGGATAAGTCTATAATATTCCCCTAGGTTCAGTGGTTACTGCAAATGCTACCCCAAGATTATCCCTAAGGAATATTCTCCAAGTGACTCAACCTACCTTACAGAGGTTCAGCAAGGCTTTTCAGGTTACATTATGAGATACAGCTGCTTAATTCTTCATAAAAAGACCACATTCAATAATCCTGCTAGTCCTAATTATAGCCAGAAATAAACCCAAATAAACCCTGAGCCCTCAGAAACACATTCTAACTTGTTTTTGTGACCAGCTGTTTCCCTTACTCCCATTTACCGGAAGGCAATCTTTTCCGACTTTTTCAAATCTCAGTAATGCCCCCTTTTCCCTTCCTGCCCTCCCTTCTGTAGCCAATTTCCTGTGTTAACCCCTTTCTTTCTATTCAAATTGTCAAGCGCCCTGACTGTATTTGATTAGACTGCTGTTTTGAAAGTTATTTGAAACAGCTTGATCCTTCCATGCTCCTGGTGATGATGAACTGGTACGCTCCATTTGGTACATTTGGTTTCAACTATTTACACTGAATAAAACCAAGAAACACAGCAGGATTTCTAGATCTCACTCCAAATTCCTGCTGCACAAGGCAAAGATAACCACTTCGGCAGCAGTGTTATTTAAACGACAGCCAACACTTTTTTAATCTTTCAAAAACTCCCATTCTCTATCTCAGCTCTTTCAAAACTACCCATAAAACTGGAACCTGATCTCAAAAACCACCAGTTATTTCAGAGACACTAGTCAGCCTGTTTCTACTTTCTAATGGCATTTCAGCACAGAACTGGTGAATTACCTCATTCCCACTGACTATGACAAACTCTGAGAGGGTGCCTTGTTTCCAGGGAGGAACTGCAGCCCAGACCTGAAACACACACAACTTCATTAGAAACAGATCTTTTTTAGCCAAAGATAAGCATGAAGGTGTTCTCCAATACATACCCCACCCTGAGAAAAAAGCACAAGCCAGCAATCCACCAGGACATAAATGTATTATTCAGTATGACTTTGGATGTATCAAGTCAAACCACATTGGAAGCAGATACCAGTAAATTCTGCTGTGTTCACTGCCTAGAGTGCCAGGAAGAGCAGTCTCTGGGGCAGAACCCTGGCTCCGCACTTACCAGCAACGGGACCTCTTCACAGCCTGACCTCCTCATCCATGAACTGGGTCTACTGTACCTACTCCACAGACATTAGATGAGTTATTTTATGACAAACAACTAGAACTCGCTAGCTTTTATTATGTGCTGACTTTAATTCTTGGGATAACAGTTCAAAGTGACAAGGGATAGATGATTGTATCAACCTTTAGCTACTTTAAAACCATCTAACTCCGTAGGGTAGAAATTGTCATTTAAAGCCTTTAAAAAAAAAAAAAGTCTCAATCATATATATCTCAAAGTCTTGCAGTTCTTAAGCACCAGATTTAGAAGGTTCCAGCACAGCAAGCTACTATGACAGAACCAAAAACAGGATGAGCAACAGAACCAAGAAAAGGGGGGTTCCAGCCAAAGCTCAGTGTATTTGTTGAAAAGAAGAAAAAAAAGGCAATGATCTGCAATATATTTCCAAAAGCAGCAGAAAGAAATCTGCAAATTTTAAAAAGGAATAGTGGTATTTCATAACTCACCTCATCTCCAGGTTTGAAGTACCTCACGTCAAGTCCACATTCCATCACCACCCCAGAGACATCCCGACCCAGCGTCAGGGGAAATTCTTCTCCTTTGATTTTAATATGTAAAGGATCACGTTTCATATTTAAAGCTGTAGCTCCGTAACCACCTATAAAACACAATTTATCTGTTTCTTCCAAAAGAATGGGATGATTTAAAAACTACTACAGTTATACGCCAGGTACAATTCTATCCTCGAGATGTAAGTTATAAAGTAATCAACCTTACAATTTTTTTTACCATCACACAAGAAAGCATAAAAACAGTAAGTGTTGTTCCAGTCAAAGAAAATTATTTGGAAGGTTATAATCACTATTTCTGAAATTTCAATTCTGAAACTATCTTCTGAACTTTTAGTATTCTCTTTTCTAAGTTTTGCTTTGTTCTTTGAAGAGGGTTTCTTTATTAATTTGTTCATTCATGAACTTTTTTTACAGTTTATTTCTTTATTGAATACACACACACACACACACACTCACATGCATATAACTGAATCATTCATAAACTTTTTTAACAAGTCATTTGGAGCCAATTCTGGTGAAGAAGATAAATGCTAAAAGTTCTCTGAGTTAATAAATAAATAAGGCATGGATATAGTATTTGACACTGACACTGGTCCATGAGTAATGGTCCCTACCTCCCCAAAAAAGTTCCAGAACAAATCTTTGGATTAAGTGTGTAGACTCCTGAATGGAAAAGAACCACTTGGCTGCATCTGTTCTGATATGTTAAATCAGATTAATTGCTTTATTATACATATCTTTTTATTTTTAAGAACATTTCCATAAATATCAACTAAGTGTAGCAGCAACATTCCTCTGATCATAATTTTTTTGGTTCGAACAAGCCAGCTACACTATCTATAATAATCCAAAGTTACACAGCGTCAACATACAAAATGGCTTTTCTATGACACAAAAGTATCTGTTATCGTCTCTTCTGCTTGACATTCTTCTGAGGACATTTCTACTATGTGAGGCTCTTCAAGATAAGCACCTTGCTTATCTCTCTAGTGTCCTGTACCACAATTTTTGCTCCAGAATCACTAAACCACTCTGAAAGCCTCCCCTTCCCCCCCACCCATCCTTGGATCTCAAAGAGGAGAAACCAGCAAAGGTGCCTGAGAAGCCTTGCCCAGTGAAGAGGTGTTCAGAAAGCCGAGTGGAGAGGGTCGTTTAAGGAAGTCAGATGCTGCTGACAGGGAAGATAGTTTTTCAAATAAGGGCAAAAGCTGCCAGTAGGCTTTTAAAAAACAAAAACCTCCAAACAAACAGACAAAAATCAAACAAAAGACTGGAACCAACTACACAGAAGTCTTTGGTGACCTTGATAGGAGCAGTTGCTGTGGCACAGGGTGACAGAGAGAGTGGGAGTGAGGAAATGGAGATCCTGGGAAGAGTGAACTCTTTTCAAATAGTTTTGCTACAGAGGACAGGAGACAAACAGGGCAGTGGCTGGAGGGGGCAAGTGAGATGGCGGGAGGATTTCTGAGGGTTCTTTTTCTCTCTTTTTAAGAGCGGGGGAATCACAGCAAGTTTGTATGCCAATGAGAATGATTCAGTAGAAAGGAAAAGACTGAAGATGGAGGAGAAAACTGCTGAAAATCTCCTGAGTAGGTGAGAGGGCATGAGATGGAGAACCCAGGTGCAGGGCTGGCCTTAGATGGGAGCAGTGACAGCTCATCCCTGAAGCCCGGGTAGAGGATATAGGAAGGGAGGCCGACAGGAGGGAAACTTGCAAAAGTTGCTTTTCTAATAAAAAATCAAGACACATAGAAGAAAGTATTTGAAAGTTGGAAAAGTCCCAGAAATATCAAAGCTGATGGCCACCACACCGATTATTACATAATTGTCAGCAGGCTAGTTAGGAGTGTTGCCTATCAGGGAAAAGAAAAAAAAAAAAACTTCACATGTAATACTCACAAAAGTCACCTTTTACTTTTACTGTCTTACATTCCTTTTCCACCTCTAAAGCACAGGTAAGCAATTATTCACTGAAATTCCCATGTGGTTTGATTAACAGACGTGGGCACTTAGCCATGTCGAATTTTAGCTGCTGTTTCAGAGCTGCAAAAAGGCTTCAGTCCTCTTCGAGGTACACAGCCTGCAGGGCAAGGTTGTTTGAGCAGCTTTCTTGGTCACCTCAGTATCAACTGATTAGCCCTGGCTCACTGGTACTAACTAAGCCAGCCCCAAATCCAGAATGCAGCTGGTAGGTAGAAACTGAGACCCTGCTTGGTGACACAAGTGAATGGAGGCCCTTAGGAGCTCCATCCCATGGGCAGAGGCGCCCAGTTTGGTTCAGAGCTGGAATGATTTGGAAAATCCTAAGTCTGCCATCGCTTTCAGAGACTTTAATCTCACCTAAAGAAACCAAACTTTCTCATTGGCTGTATTTTGTTTTCTATTTTAAGATTATTCATTAGCCATTTATATGATCTTTGATTTTATGTCCAACAATAGTGGCCAGTTCCAGAAAAAGTCAGCCTTCACCTTTCAAAACAGACATGTCTTTGCTTTCTCGTCAAGGGAAACAACTGCTCCCTACAGTTTAGTCTTCTATTCATTGTTTTATTTCCCCAAGCTACCATTTCAAGTATCTTCTGCAACAATAATCACACGTTCTCAAAAAAGAATCCATGAGCAGGAAATAAAGAGGATAACTTGCAAAGGATACTACACAGTCAAGTCATAATAAACTACGATGTCTTAAGAACACTACATAAAAGTAAAATGTTACAATATTATATGAAATAGCAGCCAAAAAGGCCAGATCCACCCATTCTACTGAAATTAAAATGGACACAATACAAAGTGTGCACATACATTCAAAGAAATGAAAAGTTAACAGATCTAAATAAGGACAAAAGGTAAAAATTGCTCATGGATAAAATATTGCTTATTTCAGTTTGTAATCTTAAATTAGAACAAAAATATAAAATGACATAAAAATAATGACTGAACAGCAACTATATATGTGATGCACTGAAACAGGCAGAAGTTGACAGCATGGGATCTACCTTCAAAGATCTTGAAATCAAGAAGATGAAAACACACACCGGTCATTGGGTATAAACCTACCACTTAAAGATATACCCTATAAAAACTAAATTATCTTCATGCTCAACGTAAATGGTATAAAATAAAATGACACGTCCAAACAGTAGTAGCAATTATTACTTCAAAGCAAACAAAAAGGATAAAAATGTGGATTCCATGAGGCAATCATCATAAAGTCATTTCAATTCATTCTTAATAGAGCTTTCCAAAGTGAATCCAAATCTTTCCCCAAACCCCTTCCCACAAAGAAATGTGTAAGTCATTCCTCACATTGTCTAGATTGGCACTGTCCAACAGAAACATAATGCAAGCCACATGTGTAACTCAAAATTTTCTAGAGCCACTAAAATAAGAAGTGAAATTAATGCTAATATTTTACTTAATGTATCCAAATTATCATCAGGTCAATAGGTAATGAATATAAAATTATTAATGAGACATTTTACATTTGTTTTTTTCTTACTAAGTCTTTGACATCTAGTGTATATTTTACACTAATTGCACATTCAATTCAGACTAACTACGTTCAATTGCTCAACAGCCACATGTGGCTAGTGGCTACTAGAGGCAAACCTCATTTTACTGTGCTTCACTTTACTGACCTTTGTGGATACTGCATTTTTTGCAGTTTGAAGGTTTGCGGCAACCGTGCATTGAGCAAATCTCTCAGCGTCATTTTTCCAACAGTACTGTTTTTAAATTAAGGTATGTGCATTTTTTAGGCATAATACTATTACACACTTAGTAGACTACAGTACAGTGTAAATATAATTTTTCTATACACTGGGAAATAAAAAAAAAATTGTGTGATTCACTTTATTGCAATATTCGCGTTTTTGCAGAAGTCTGGAACCCAACCTGCGATTTCTCCAAGGTATGTCTAGATATAGGACAGCAGGACTAGATAGATTCACTTAGTTAAAAACAGCACCATTAAAAATTGAAGACTTAAAGCCAGTGAAACTGAACTTTATTTCCCTAATCCAAGAGTTCTCCAAGTTTTTACATCCCCAAGATCTTTTTGAAGACTCTAAGAGATCCTTTCTTGTCCAACTACCCATGTGAGGCTAGCTTTTCTTTACTCACTTCAAAAACCGTATCATGACAGACTGACTACAGAAATACATGAAAATTTAGCTGTCTTATTAAACTAGAAAGCAAAGAGATATGCAAAAGTGTAAAACAATGCTACTCTTCTCACTGAATTTTTTTGCTTATTTTGGGAAGTACAGTTATTTTTCACCATAAGCACTTTGGGGATAGATCCCATGCTCTGTCAGCTATACTACCTGTTTCAGTGCTTCACACATGCTGTTGTCTCTTGAGACATTATTTTTATGTCATTTTATAATTCTGATTTAATTTTGTAATGTTAACACAACAGTTTATTGTATTTTTAAATGAATATTTAAGTTTCTATTCTAATTTATAATAAGGTAAATATGGACAGTTATAACTCACAAAAACAAAAGCCCTCTAATTATTAAGAGTGTGAAGAAATTTTAAGACCAAAACATTTGAGAACTGCTATCCTAATCTATCACACGACTCCTGGGGAAGAAAAGAGGAAGAAATGAAGCCTAACTCTCAACACTTTCATACTTCTCTACAAATTCCACAAAATGATTCATTCTATCATTAATCTTAATTTTGTAACTGGATATGTATACGAACAAAGAAATTATCACACATAATTCGTTCACATCATAACTGTTAACTGGGATAATCTGCATGTCTACACACAAGATCTTCAAAACAAAGATCCACGGTTAAATTAAACCATATATGGCAATTTACTTAGAACGCTGAAGTTAACCGACCAATCATCCCAATTTTAAAGCAGTATTTTTGTCATTATTTTCTAAAGTTAAAGTAATTTGCAGATAATAATGAATCTTTCCAGCACTATAAAAACTGCATAGTATATATTTAAGGAATACAGTGCTCTCCAAGCTTTGTCAATATCCCTCAGCAGAAATTAAGATAACATTATTCCCACTGAGGATGGAGCATAACAGAAAAGTGTATTATTTTAACTGCTAAGAACAGAATGCAACCGCATAAATGGGGAAAGTACTATGTCCATACCCTTACATTCTGCTGCTTTGTCCACTGCACCATTAAAGAAAGTTGTGATTAGTGTGAGGGCAAATAAGAACTACATAAAAATGCAAACTCTAAACTGGTATGAAAACATAACCACACCTCTAAAACCCGTGATGGACCTGAGAATATCACAAAGCTCCCAGAAGAGTGAACCAGAAAGTTAGCTGCAGATACAAGTCCCAATTTACCTCTTAAGGTAACATGGAAGCAATTCAAACTTAAGAGTTTGTAAAAGATTAAAGCATACAATAGGTATTGCAATTTCAACAATTTCGGAAATATTATCTGCTAAAATACTGTTTAAACCCTAAACAATTCCTTTGTGTTAACCAAAGACTTACCGTCAGTAACAAATGATATTTTAAAACTGATCCCTGATGAAACTATCTGAAGAGGAAAAAGAAAAAGGAAACGAGGAATGTATTTTGAAACTTACTTCTCATATTGACATCTATAGGATTTACACTTGCAGCGTGCACTTTGATAATGACTTCATTTGGATAGTGTATCATAGGTATAGCCATGTTCTGAGTAAATCGAAGCACTTCATTATTCCCGTATTTATCTATCACCCAAGCGGGCATGACACTGGTCCTTGGAGAGGTAGTACTAATTCTTCTAACTGAAGGCTTCTGCACAACGTGGCTTCTCCAGAAGCAAACCGCAGTACAGGTATTTCTAAGAACACAGGTCTTCAGAAACCCCATCGTTAACAGTGGTTGAACTGCGTGCCCTAATTAAAATGCACTTGGAGTGGATCAACCTCTCACCCCTGAATTCGGTCAAATTCTGCCAAACACACTGGGCGGCTTCAAAGTTGAGAATTCAGAAATGAAGTTAACCCCGCGGAGCAAATGAAAAAAGAAGAGTATGAAATTACTCTACTCTTCGCAACTGAAATGCTCCAATTAACGTTCCAGTCAGTATTCTGTACATGCTCCTCCTCCCTTACACCCCCGCCCCTTTAAAACAAAACAAAACCCCCCTAGAACCCTGCCGGGTCCCGGGAGCCGTGGGCGGGATGAGCCCACTCCGCTTGTGATCCACACGCCAAAGAAACGGCCGCCTCCAGAGTCCCGCCGCGACCCTAGCCCGCTCTCCTTCGCCGCGGACTTGCCTAGCGGCGCCAACCAATCGCGTGCAAAGATGATTTCCTTGGGCGGCAATTCGACCTATCGGAGTCCTCGGTGCTGATAGGTTCAATGACGAACGATCAAACATGGCTGCGCCCATGTAACTCCGGCAGCGGCCGCTGACCTTTCTTTTCCTTCTTGTCACCTGGCCCCTGTGGTGGCAGGCGGGGCACGAGAACCATGCTGGGCTGGACCCTCCGAGAAGTGAGTGGAATTGCCTGCCAAGGGCCCAGGGAGGTCGGAAAGATTCGCGGAGTCCTTGTTCGCGGGCAGGAGGAGTCTCCGGGCCTGACCGTGCATCCTGGTTCGCCTCGCCGCCTCCTTCCCTTGAACTGGGTGGGGGGTTTGCACCTCCGGGTCCTTAGGCTTTACTCCCCATACCTGTTTCGGAGTTAGGATCTCAGCCGAGGAGACTTCTGCACCGCGGAGCTGCGGGGTGGAAGTGCACGCCGGCTTCTCTCCATTACTCGTTAGCTCAGGCAGGGTTGGGCCCCAGATGGTCTCTCTCGGAGGATTGGGCTCTGTGAGATGAGGGGGATTTGGCTGGTCCACTTCAGTCTCTCTTCTGTCTTTGACGCTCATCTGATGCAGTACTCACGAAGGAGCCAGCAAATCTGTCCCTTGCAAAAGCCAAGTAGTGACTTCTGGCTTTCCCCCCTATATTAATGCTCTAGGCTTCAAATCACCAAAATACCAAAGATTCCTTTACCCGTATCTCCATTTCCCTGACATGATTTTTGAACGCTAAGCTGTATTTGTGAATGTGTTCTGGACATCTCTTCCAAATGTCCCATAAGCACCTCACATTCAATTTAACCAAAGTTGACATCATCGTTGTAACAGAAACACCTCATGTCTCAACCTCTATCATAAAAAACAAACAAAAACCTGATTTCTGAATTCTTAATATTCTCTAATGGCACATCTGTTACCCAGTTGCCCTTGGAGTCTTCCTCATATGTAGTATGCAGTAAGTCGCTAAACTGTTAAATCTATCCCTGCTGATAGGGCTTCAGCTTTCTTTGCCTTCTGGCCCAGATCTCTCAACCTATAAAGCTGTCTGCAGACTCACTGCTATCAGAATCACCTCGGGGCCCTCCTTAAAACTACAGTTGTGGCCCACTCAGGCAGATCAGGATGGTAAGGCCCAGAGTATATAGTTTAACCAGGGCTCCACCTGATTCTGCTGATAAGTATCAGCTGAGGACCCACCTTGCCTTCCATCTTCCACTTGTATCTTCACCTGGGAAGTCTTTGTTTTCTTTTTCCAGCTGGCAGCTTTTTCAGAAAGCTGTAAATTATGAGAAGTTTAAACCCACAGGCTTTAAATAATAGTTCTTCCTCTCAATACATTATTGTTTTACCATATTTAATTGCGTCTGGCCTATACTGTCAGTGAAGAATCCAATTTATTCTTTAAAAAAAATTTTTTTTAAACACAAAGATGTTTTAAAATGAAATGCAACCTAAAAAACTTGGTATGTTCTTCTGCCCTCTTCCCCTTCAGCACTACTTTTTTTTGTGCCTCCCCTTCCCGGTGTTGTTGAGTGAGCCATTGTGAGAAACAGCTTTTACCTCAAGGGGGGAGAAAACATAGGGAACCCAAGGGTAGACAGGAGTTTGCCTTGGCATAACTTAATCACTTCTTTAACAAATATTTATTGATGTCTACTGTGTGCAAAACATTAGTTGGTTATTTTTGCAGCCCATAATATACCTTCTGTCCACTCTGTTTTTTCCACGTCATTGTATCACCCAAATTCTACCAATTAGAGATTAGTTAATTTAGTGCACATTCTATTTTAAATATGTAAGGATGCCTGGGAAGGTTGAATTATTTATCCATTGTTATAAATGGTAGTAGTTCAATCAAATTTCTCTCCATCATACCCAAGCTGGGATAATCAGTTGAAGAAAGGGAAAATTTAGCGGAGAGGAAATTAGGGGGAAGGCCTGGAAACTATGGAATTTTGAGGCAATTTGGAGGACCCAAGAGGAGGCTTAGGGCAATAGAGGAACCCTAAGGGGGAACGCTAAAAGGAAGTAAAATGCCAAACAGGAGGTAAAAACTCCTACTTGTAAATTTTACCCAGGTGCATTCAGGATGGCGGAGGAGTCTTTGACCTTCCTTTTGTGTGTCATGATACCAGTGTTTCTAGGAACTAGACACCAGGCCAATATTATTCATCCTAAGCTATATTAAATAATTATTAAGTTATATTAAATAAAGTTAATTATATATCCAATGGGCTTCTTGGGAGTCTAGCCTAAGAACATTTAATTGTTCTATGGGAGAATAGATTCCAAACTTCAAACAATTCAGCTATTCATTCATTTAGCCAACATTTATTGAGTACCCCTGTGTTCTAGACACGGGATTATCACTGCAGACAGGCAGAAGCTCCTGTCCTCATGAAACCGACACTTTTGTGGGGAAGCAGGCATTAAATATGTTTTCTTTTAAAGTAAATAATATAATTTCAGGTAGTGTAGGTGCTATGAAGAAAGATTAAGCAGGCTCTAGTGTGAGAACTAGTTGGGGGAGATGGATGTTTTAGATGGAGTGGTCAGGGAAGGTTTTTCTGACTGAGTAGATGATACTTGATGGAGACCTGAAGGATAAGCAGAGTGAGTCCTGGAAAGATCTGGGAGAAGGGTGTTCCAGGCAGAGGAAAGAGTAAGTGCAAAGACGCTAAAGCAAGAGCAAGCTTGGCGTGTTCAAGGAATAGCAGGAAGGCCAGCACATCCGAGAGAAGCGAATGAGGAGGAGAGTAGTGGGAGATGAAGTTAGAGAGATAAGCAGGAGCCAGATCATGGAGAACCTTTCAGGCCATGGTAAGGATTGTGGGTTTTATTTTAAATGTGATACAAAGCCTCTGGAAAGGTGTCAGTGGACGTGATCTGATTTAAAATTTGAAAGCTCCTTCAGGCTACTCTTAAGGATTATGATCTATAGGAAAGCAAGTGAGGAAGCAGGAAGACCAGTTAGAAGACTGTTATTGGCAAGAAATGATGGCAGCATGGTTAGGGTGGTAGGAGTAGAGGTAGTGCTGAGTGGGTATTACTTTTTATTTATTTTTTAAGTTAGGGCTTTCTGATGGATTGGATTGGGGTTGGAGGGAAAGGCAAATCAAGGAGGATGCTTAGGTTTGGGGCCTGGGCAGTTGGGGAAATGGTAACATTTATCAAGATGGGAAAGACTCTACAGGGAGCATGTTTGTGAGAAGGTTATCAAGATGTCTGTTCTAGACGCATTAATTTTGTGATGCCTCCTAAGATATCCAAGTGAAGATGTCAGCTAAGCAGGTGGAGATAGGAGAGTGGAGATCAAGAAAGAAGCAAGGTATGAGGATATAAATTGGCCAGGACAGAGAAGATAACTGAAGCTCTATGGCCAGGTGAAATCACCTGAGAAATTGAGTGTAGAAGCATGAAGGGCGCCTAAAGCTTTCCAGTTTGTAGAGGTCAGCAATAGGGAGCAGAGCCAGCAAGAGACTTGAAAGAATAGCCAGTAAGGCAAGAGAAAAGAACCAGGAGGGCTTAGTGTCCTGAAATACAAGTGAAGAAGAAGTGTTTCACAGAGGGAGTGATCTCTAGTGCTGAGTGCTGCTGGACTGAGCCAGGACTGCTGGATTTAGGATCGCAGAGGTTGCTGGTGATCTTGACTGTTGTTTCTTGGAACAATGGAGACAAAAGCATAAATGTTAAGTGAGCGTGTTAAAGAGAGTACGAGTCAACTGGACACTTGGCCTTCAAGGGCTGTCATATACATACTTCAGCATTTATCGAGACAATTTTTCTTTTGAAAGACAGGTCTTTTCCTAAGTGAATCTTTGATGTTATCTGTAAAGTTAATAAAATGGTCTGTACTTTACAAAGAAGTAAATGCTGTAACACCTTGCATAGAGAAGTATTATAATCCAGAACAAGGGCTTTGGAAACAAGATCAGGCCTTGGTAAATCCCAGCTTTGTGACTGTCTCACTGTGTGATTTCAAGCAGGAACTTCAGTAATTTATCAGTAAAATGGAAATAATGTCAGCTTCTTAGTGTGCATGTAAGGATTAAATGAAATATAAAACATCTAGGATAATGCCTGGAACTAAGTGCTGCTACCAACACTAATTTTGTTACAGGGACAAAATTACTAGATTATATGTATTTACAATTTTCTCTTCCCCTGGTTTCTAAGAGTGGTTCCTGAGGGAGATTTCTTAATTTTTCTAAGAAGTTATTCTTACTTATCTATTGCTGCATAACAAATTAATATAAATGTTTTGGCTTAAAGTAACAGTCTTAAAACTCATACACACAATCTTATCATCTCATGGTTTTGTGGGTCAGGAATCCAGGAATGGAGTAGCTGGCTTCTCTGCTCAGTGTCTCACAAGGCTGAAATCAAGGTGTCACTCAGGGCTGCGGTTTCTTGGGATGCCTTGACGTCCTCTTTCTACCCCACTGGTCGTTGGCAGAATCCGTTTCCTTGCCTTTGTAGGACTGATCTCCATCTTCTTGCTGACTATGTGAGTAACAGTAAATATGAGCTCAGGGGACAGGAGATGTGGGATAATTAGAACTGGGGTTTGGGAGATTATACAATGTTAGTAATGATGCGGTCTGAACTGTGACCATGTGAGCTGGTAACTGGGGTGAGGTGAAGGAAGAGTTGTGTGAAGTGAGGTCAGGAACTGAGAGGCCAAGTGTCAGTGTACCTGACCTGAAGTTTGAAGTCAACAAAAATAGCAAGAGGAGCTTAGAAAAGAAGGCTCCAGTGTCCTAGCAGCTAAAGTCTTCAGTGAACGGAAAGGAGTACCAGGGAGCCTGTAGGATAGCACATCAGGGAGAGTAAAACCGTCTCCTCCAAGGCCTGTGCTTCAGATGAGCTGGGGGTTTGGAGAGAAGAGGGAAGAGAAAGGCACGGAGGACCAGGAGGATGCTTGCCCACAGTTCTCCCCTCCCCCACTGGACTCGGTGCGTGGTAGGTAGGAGCTGAGACAGCCATACCTTGGGAGAAGCAGTGGTCCCAATTTCTAAAAGCGAAAAGAAATGCTAGGGAGAGAGCCTTTGGTTTAACAAACTTTTTGTTGATTTCCTCTTGTACTCAGATAGGACACCTTTAGTTTTGCCCCAGGGGAACCGTACTGTCTAGATACCTATACTTAGAATCCTTGTTGCTCAGTCCACTCTAGAGTCCACTGTAGCCAATTAGCATCCTTGTGTTTATCTCTCTTCTCCGATACCTGTGTTGATTTTCTCAAATCTGGGTTTCCTAAAAATGGTCCTAACAAAGATCACCACTTAAAATGGGTACTCACAGACAGTCTCATTTCTTGCCCTTGTAACCACAACCGTAACTCCTTACTTCTTATTCTAACACCACTTGAAGTCAGAAAGCAGATAATGAGCATGAGGGAGGTGAAAGAGGAGAGAAAATGGCAAGCCTAATTTTCCTCCTTACAGCTTTGCTCTGGGGTAGGCCTGTCTGTATACCTGTCTCTCCAGTGCTGGGATTTTGCTAGTTCTGACCCTTACACCTAACCAACCACCGACTTCTTTTTTTTCACCCCATATTCACAATATTAGAATACACTGCTGTCTTTTCTTTCCCTTTAGCTCCTCTCTTCTAAAGAAGTTATGTTTTATACAAACAGTTCAACAGAAATCTCTCTTCTTGTTACTAGGTTACCTCCTTTAAGTCCAGCTCAGCTGCCCCTCCCCATGGCAGGCAGCCCTTTCCTCCTCTTGTCCATCAGCATTAGGGGGTCCTCTCAGTGCCCTATTCCCACTGCTCTTCTGGCTTTAAACCCTCAGGCCTAAGAATACTGCTGCTTTGATGATTTATTCAACAGCCGAGAGCAGATCATTTGCAGATTTTCTGCAAATGCAAACTCCTATTGCTTGATGTATATAGGACGCGTGAAAATACAGTCAACATGGAGGAGAAGCTAAGCTTCCACTGGTGCAGAGAGGAATGGTGAAGGAGCAGATGTCAAGAAATTGTCTTTTACTATTGTGTGACTTTGGACAAATCGCTTAACTTCTCTGAGCTTCAGTGTCTTCATCTGTGTAATGAGGTTAATAATACGTAACTTAAGGGGTAGTTTTATGGGTTAAATAAAGTAATAATGCATGTAAAAGCAATAACAGTGCCTGGCTCTTGGTAAATACTCAGATGTTACTTTTTCTTCATCCCCCTTATCTCTGAGCTTCCAATTCTCTTTTCAGATTGTCTCCAAAGCTCTGGTATCATCTTTGACCTCTTGTTATTCATTCCTTTTATCTGATTAGTAAGTTTTTACTATTATTACTTTCTATAGGAAGTATTAAATAGTCATCACTTCACCGCAGGCTTTACTTACTTTCAGTATGCAGGTGCTGGTCACTTGCAGTGCAGTTTATTTCAATGCTTTCATTGCTAGCCTTCCTAATGCATCAAAGACAGGATTTCAGAAATGTGTTGTTAGTTGGCTTTTGACCCCTTATTTTATAAGCATTTCTCTCAATTCGTAGTGGTTCTTGCTCAAATTCTACAGTGGGTAAAAAGATCTTTTTAATAAAGATCACTTATTTGGAGCATAAAGTCCTGTAATGCCTGTCTAGTTCATTTCTTTTTGTACCGTAGATGGCCTGTGTTGCAGCTGAGCTCCTCTCTACGCAATCTACCCTAAACCGTGCTTCACCCGCCCCGGGCCTCTGCTGCTCCTGGACAGAGTGGCTGACCTAAACCATCCATCTTGTTTGTTCAAGCCTGCCTTAGAAACAGAGCTCCTCAGCTAGGACTGTGAATATGGTGTCCTCCAATCCATCTTGCAGCTGACCCGTGTGTTACCCTCATTCACTACACTAAGTACAGGCTGGATAGGTGCTCTTGGTTTTGAATCCAAGCCTCACTTCAAAATTTTCTACTTAACCACTGTCTGCCCACCTCAGTGTAACATCTGAAACTTCTGCAGACTCAATGGATTTTTAAATTTTATATATTATAGGTTTCTGCAGCCCTGAAACAAGGCCAGATTACACCAACTGAGCTCTGTCAAAAATGCCTCTCCCTTATCAAGAAGACCAAGTTTCTAAATGCTTACATTACTGTATCAGAAGAGGTGGCTTTAAAGCAAGCTGAAGAATCAGAGAAAAGATACAAGAAAGGTACGTTACTTTGAATTACTCCACTGCTATGACCCTAGAGAAAGGGTATAATTGGATATAGTAGTCTCCATTCGGCAAGTGGAGCTTTAAACGTAAAGTATTCCCTTATTTAAAGAACTGACCATTAGGTATAATAAAAATGAAGCTAATGGATTTGTGATGCTTTATAATGTCCAACTGCACATAATTTCTAACACAAATTTCATTTCTGAAGAAGTATCTTTACCAAAAACTAGTAGTTATTTTAATAACTAATATCAATGTGTCTATATTTCAAACTAGATATCTCTTCTATCCTTTTGGCTTTTTAACACAGGTCACTCACTAGGGGATTTAGATGGAATTCCCATTGCGGTAAAAGACAACTTTAGCACGTCCGGCATTGAGACAACATGTGCATCAAACATGCTGAAAGGTAAAGTGTGATTGACCAGAGTATTGTTTTATAAAAATAGGTGTTTTTCAGTTTAAATTAAGATATTAAAGTACCAAAATATTCTCAGACTAATTATATCTGCAAAGGAAATATTTAGGATGCAATATTACCTTTTCACTATTTTCTCTTTAAAAATGCAAAATTCTTCTTTCAAGGTAGGCCAGCTTAATGGGTGAATCCTACGTAGGAAGTTTTAGCGGTTCTATCTAGGAAGACTCAGTAACTGATCACCACAGACGCAAAAGTGACCTCTAACTCCCACTTGTTAATAATACAGGAATAAGTATGAAGTGGCTGTCATTACCTCTCTCTTGAGGATGGTATGAGGATTTATTAGCATCCACTGTCTGGTTATTATTTTTCTCCTGACTCCTCCATCTCTTACATCACTATAGTTAGCAGAGTGGTGCTTATCTTTATTTTTTAAAGTTTAGTAGATCAAAAAGGAATCATATTTATCAAGATGTTTGGATCCTAGGAAGAAAAAGAAATGGAGAGAAGATAGAGTACTATGCACTAAAAGTAACCTGTAAGGTGTATGCCCCAGGTTCCTCTGATAGGTAGACCATTGTTAATTGTTTTGGAATATACACTAGATACAGGAAATTTTACTGGACAAAAATCTATTTCTAACTGGAAATAGATCAAAATTACTGTGTGATACACAGCATCACCTGAGAAGAAAAAGTCAAGTCATATGAGCAAAATAATGATTTGCGATTAGTTTCAAATGACTATCTATCATTCAATATTCTGTAGTACTAACTGTTAAAGTCAGCATTTTTAGATTACAAAAATAGTGAATATTTAGGCTTCCTTTGGAAAACATATAGCAGTTAGCAATAGAGAAAATTAACTTTTGGAAGTACAACCTGCTATTTAAATTAGGAATAATTAACACATGTCAATACCAGTTGCTTAATTGCAGTTTAAAGTGATTTATATGTCCACTGTTTTCTTTCCTGCCATAAAAATGACTGAATTTTTTTGGAGGGATTAAGAGGTACAAACTACTATATATAAAATAAAATAAGCTATAAGGATATATTGCACATTACAAGAAATATAGCTAATATTTTACAATAACTTTAAATGAAGTATAATCTATAAAACTTTTGAATCACTATGTTGTACACTGGTAATCTATTATAAATCAACTATACCTCAATTTTTTTTAAAAATAAGAAAATTACGGAATTTTTTTCAGGTTATGTACCACCTTATAATGCTACAGTGGTTCAGAAGTTACTGGATCAGGGAGCTCTACTAATGGGAAAAACAAACTTAGATGAATTTGCTATGGGGTAAGTAAAACTGAAATTTTCTTTTCTTGTATTTCTTCTATCTGTGTCTAATTTCATTAAGTGTAGGTGACTAAAAGTAGTGAAGTGATTTCTTGAGGACTCTAATACCAGTTTCTCAGTCCCTCTGTGAGATTACATTCTGCTGTCTAATAGGTCATACCTCATTTTGGTTTTAACTTGCCTTTCCTTGGTAACTAATGATGTTAAACATCATGTGTTTATTTTGCTACCTATAGATCTTCTTTGGTGAAGTATCTATTCAAATCTTTTGCCCCCTCTTTTTTAAAATCGGGTTGTTTGTCTTATGGAGTTGTAAGAATTTTTTTTTCATCTATTTTCAGTTCAAGTCCATTATCAGATAGTTGATTTGCAAATATTTCCCCAAGTCTCTGGCTTGCCTTTACATTATCCAAACATGCCTTTCAAGGAGTAAAATTCTTATTTTTGAAGTCTAATTCATCATTTTTTTTTCTTTAATGATTTATGCTTTTTGTGTCCTACTGAAGATATCTTTACCTTGCCCAAGGCTACAAAGCTTTTTCTCCTATGTTTTCTCCTAGAAGTTTTATATTTTCTCCTATGTTTTCTCCTAGAAGTTTTATACTTCTAGTTCTTATATTTAGACTTGTGGTCCATTTGTTAATTTTTTGTATATGATGTGAATAAAGCCAAGGTTCTTTTTTTTTTTTTTTTACATATATCTGTCTAATAGATTTGGCACTATTTGTAAAAAAAAAAAAAATTATCCTTTCCTCATTATATTACTTTGACTCCTGTCGAAAAATCAAATACATGTATAGGTCTATTTCTGGATTCTGTTCTGTTGATCCCTGTATCTCTATTTACTCCATATTACACCACCTTGATTATTGTAGCTTTATAGAAAGCCTTGAAAATAGGTAGTAAGAGTCCTTCAACTTTGTTCTTCTTTTTCAAAATTATTTTACGTATACCAGGCCCTTTACATTTCCATGTAAGTATATAATTGATTTTTCTACGTTGACCTTTTCTCCTGTGACTTGCTAACCTCACTTATTAATTCTGGTTGATTTTTGTAGATTCTTTGGTATATTTTATATAGATGATCATGTAGTCTGTAAGTAGAGATAGTTTTATTTCTTCTAATTTCTTTTTTTTAAAAAAAATGGAGGTACTGGGGATTGAACCCAGGACCTCATGCATGTTAAGCAGTGCTCTACCAGAGCTCTTTCCCTACCCCTCCATCTTTCTTTTTCTTGCCTTATTGCACCAGTTAGAACCTTTAGTGCAGTATTGAATAAGAGCAGATATCCTTGCCTTGTTCCTGATCATGGAAGAAAGCATTTATTAGTCTTTCATTAAAAGCAGTTTTTATTTCCCCTTTTATAGCATTTGTCACATTTGTAATATTTGCTTGGTCTGTGTCCCATATTTCATAGAAGCAGATTCCTTGGCCCTCTTATTTATAGCAGTATCTCTTAGCAGTCAGTAAATGTATGTTGAATTAATTAATCTGTGGTATAAACTCGAACATAGGTTATTTAGGACATTGCCTTGAACAGCTGATCAAAATGAACATCACCAATGAGGTTGAAATGTAATTCCCTGAGGAGGAACACCATCAGCTATGCTATATTCCAGCTGAGAATGTATAACCTGAAGCTAATAACAAGGTAACAAAAGACAAACCTGAACTGAGAAACATTCTATTAAAATGCCAATTTCATTATAAAAAAAAAAAAAAAAAAAAGGCTGTGAAAATGTTCCAGATTAAAAGAGGCTAAAGAAAGTAAAACCTAAAATTTATAGAAGAAAATGTAGGAGAAGATCTTTATGACCTTGAATTATGCAAAGATTTCCTAGATAGGACACAAAGTATAATCTGTAAAATAAAAAAATTGATAAATTAGATTTCATTAAAATTAAGAACTTTTGTACTTTGAAATACACTGGTAAAAAATGAAAAAACAACAACAACAAAAAAAAAAAAAACAAGCCACAGACTGGGAGAAAATATTTGCAAAACATGTCAGAAAGAACTGGTATCCAGTATATGTAGAAATTTTCCCAACCCAGTAAGAAAACAATTCAGTTTTTTGAAAAATGGGTAAAAGATGTAAGAAGACATTTCATCAAAGAAGATATACAGCTGGCACATAAACACATGAAAAAATGCTTAACATGGTTAGTCATTAAGGAAATGCAAATTAAAATCACAATGAAATTCATACACTTATTAATTAGAATGGCTTAAAAATGATAATATCAAGTACTGGCAAGAATGCAGAGCAATTGGATTTCTCATACAATGCTGGTAGAGAGTGCAAAATTATATAGCCATTTTGGAAAATGGTTTGACAGTTTCTTAAAAAGTTAAACATACTTACTGTAAGACCCAGAATCTTAATCCTAGGTTTTTACGCATGAGATGAAGGCTTATGGTTACACAAAAGCACTGGCTAGGGCCTTTCAGTATAATATTTATTGTGGCTTTATTCAATTTTCCAAACACAGGAAATAATTCAATGTCTGTTGGCTGGTGAAAAAAGTAAAAAAATGAGGCAAAAGGGACAACGATAACTAATGTAATTCCTGACTCTGGACTTGATCCTCTACTGGGAGGAGGTAAAATGCTATAAAGAACATTATTGGATCAACTGACAAAATTGGATTACATATAGGAGATTTAATAAAAGTATTATATTGATATAATAAATGAAAACATCCCCAACTTGGGAAAGGAAACAGTCACCCAAGTCCAGGAAGCACAGAGAGTTCCACACAGGATCAACCCAAAGAGAAACACACCAAGGCACATAGTAATCAAACTGACAAAAATTAAGGATAAGGAGAAAATATTTAAAATAGCAAGAAAAAAAGCAATAAATAACATAAAAGGGAACTCCCATAAGGTTATCGGCTGATTTCTCAGGAGAAACTCTATAGGCCAGAAAGGAGTGGCACAATATATTTAAAGTGATGGAACGGAAAAACTAACAACCACGAATACTCTATCCAGCAAGGCTTTCTTTCAAATATGATGGAGAAATCAAAAGCTTCACAGATAAACAAAAGCTAAAACCAGCATCACCAAACCAGCTTTACAACAAATGTTAAAGGAGCTTCTCTAGTCATCAAACTGTAAGAAAAGAGAACAAAAAGAAGAAAGAGAAGGAAAAAAAAAGACCTACAAAAGATTGCTTTGTCATTTCAGGGTCTTTTATGGTTCCATATAAATTCTGGAATTGTTTGTTCTAGTTCTGTGAAGAATGTCATGAGTACTTTGACAGGGGTTGCATTGGATCTGTAGACTGCTTTGGGTAGTACAGCCATTTTGATAATGTTGATTCTTCCAATCCAAGAGCACAAGATGTCTTTCCATTTCTTTGTATCATTTTCAGTTTCCTTAATCAGTGTTTTACAGTTTCCAGAGTATAGGTAACCTCCTTGGTTAAGTTTATTTCTAGGTATTTTGTTGTTTTTGATGCAATGGAAACATTTATGCCAGTTATAAAATTCTGATTTTTGAAGTAGAAAAAAAAAAGTAAATGAAGGGCTGTAAATAGCAAAATATCCTTCCTTTTTATGGGTGTGTTGTATTCCATTACATATATATGCTGCATCTTCTTTATCTGTTTATCTATTGATGTGCAGTTGGAATGCTTCCAGGTCTTGGCAATTATAAATGATGTTGCTGTTAATAGCAGGATGTGTGTATCTTTTTAAATTAATTCTTATTCTGTGGTTGGCTTCATTCCTTTGATAACTATGTAATTTTAAAAAGCTAAAGCTCTAAACATTCTTAGAAACAATGAACAGTACACATATGTAAATTTTAAAAATATGTGCAGTATATTGTGTAAATGTATTTACATGCAATATATTGTATATGTGCAGTCAGAGTTTAACAGTTCTACCTAATAAAATGAAAAATGAAAAAAGTATTTATAAATTTTTAAGAAGTATTGATGTTAAATTTACAAAGATAACTATACTGTGACGCTGTAAGAGAATATCCTTCATCTTAGGAAATGCACACTAAATACATACTAAAGTACTTAGGGGTAAAGGGCCATCATATGTATAATTTACCCTCAAGTGGTTCAGAAAAAAAATTTTCTGTTTATGTATGGACACAAATGATAAAACAAATGGGGTAAATGTGAGCAATAGGTGAATCTGGTTAGCAGGTATAAAGTTTTTTCATACTTTTTATTTTTGTATTTGTCTGTAATATTGAAATTTATTTCAAAATGTAAAAAAATAAGTTATGAGCATTCCACTCAGAATGTGTCTCTTAAAACTTCTGATTAATAGGGGAATTCCTTCAAAAGACTGCTTGTTAACGGACTGTTTGTGGCACTCTTCAACTTAAAGACCTTAAGTTACTAGGGAAATCATCTTAAGCTGAATCAGAAGATCAATTGGGATAAAAATCTTTTCTTAGCAGACTAGTTTTTCCTACATGCTACCACTTATGCTCTTACTTCTCTCCTTCACCTCCTCGGCCATCTAATTAAAGAAAACCACATCTAAGCAGGCTTCGTATCTTTTCCAGTTCAAGTTACAGTGGATTATTTGGAAGCAAGTAATATCAGGAGGCAAAAATTTCACATAAAATCAGTTTGATTAAGATATCTTGTTTCCCTTCTTCATCTCAGATCTGGAAGCACAGATGGCATATTTGGACCCGTTAAAAACCCCTGGAGTTTTTCAGAACAATACAGAAAAAAGAGGAAGCAGAAGTCCCATGGTGAGAAAGAGGATTCAGATTGGCTCATAACTGGAGGAAGCTCAGGAGGGAGCGCGGCAGCCGTATCAGCATTCACATGCTTTGCGTAAGATGCTTCCTGCTATCTGTACTTTGAAACCCAACCCAATACGCATAGTCATAAACCATACACAAAATCCAACAGTAGAGTCATTCATACCTTGGAATTTTTATTACTCTTTAGTGAGCTATTTGTGCTCAATGTTTTATCAAAATTATATCTTATAAATACACTCAACTATACAGTACACTTATGTGTATTTTATACATTAAACCTTTTTTGAATTTTTATTTTTTAACATGTAAACTCTTCCTCTATATCACCTAGTTCTCTTAAAAACATGATTTTACAGATCTTACAGAATGAACCAGTTAGCTTAAATAGACTTCACTGAATTTCATTTTTTAAATAATGTATCTGGGTATCTACTCACTGATTATACAGAAATTTAGTGACTAACGTACCTTGGCTTTAGTTGAGTGCTTCTGAGCTAATCATTAGCTGTGGTTTATCCTTCAGCTAAATCTCACTTTTGCAAAAGAGGGGAAAAAAGGAAAGAGAGAGAAAATGCTCCTAATATGTATCAATAGAATATTTAAAATAGTGTTTTTATAAATCTGCAACTAAAGATACATATCAGTAAGTAAAGCTTTTTCAAATTTGTAGGGAGGTAATTTGTTCAACTGTCATACTTTGTATTTTAAAAGAATCCATCAGTCATGCTCTATGTCCCATTTGTAAAGCATTTTTTAACCATCTAAAGAAAAGTAAATAAATATTACTGTTATTATATTTATTTTATTGGTCTCAATTTAACCAAATAGGATGTTTTCTTTAGTAGTACTGTATGTGTTTTCTCTCTCCCTAATTATCCACTGAAACTAAGCTCTCTCGCAGGCATTGCAACCAATAAATTATTTATATTTTTTAGAGCTATGGAGATTTAGATTCTACAGATTTTTTAAGTTTCCCTGAAATCTTGTTAACAAGTAAAACCATTTCACTTTATCTCTGGAATTTTATAGCACTCCATTAATATTAATGAGAGTTCTGACGAGTTAGGATTGCAAGATTAGGTGCTTTTTTTCTATCCTTATCACCCCACTTAGTGTTCATCTTTCTGAATGTGCTTTGAGAAGATGGCATTTTGACACATATTTCCTATGGAAATGTAGGTTTTCTTTTACAGCACTGTCAGTGAATCCTAATAAGAAAATGTATCCTTTTAGAAATTGTGAAAGCAACAGTCTAATTTTGTAGCTCAAGTGGACTTGGTAAGAAAGGCAATCTAATTTGCATTTTCTGTGGAGGACAAGGGCCATGTGACGGTAGGAGCCTTGTTCAGTCCAAAGCTTCACTCTGGGTGTAATCAAGAGAGGCACAGACCCAGAGTAGCTCCAGACTGAAAGGGTCCCACACTGTCAGGGGTTCTGCTTTGTTTTCCCCTCTTTGATTTGTTTCTTTTGTAATAGTTTTAAAAACAGGAAGATTCTAGCAGCACTATGCTGCCACTAAAGAGAATGAGCTCGAGTGCTGTGTGGTGACATGGAAAGAAATCCAAGATACACTGTTAAGGGGAAAACACATTGCAGAACAGTATGTATAGTATGACCTTATTTCTTTAAAAATTGGTAACAGGACTACTATGGGGGCATTGATTTCACTTTATACATCATATACAGAATATTTTAATTTTTACAGTAGACATTACTCTTTTTGAATCAGAAAGAAATTCCGAAATAGTTTTAAAAAGTATAAATTTTTAATTATGGTAAAATAAATATAAAATGTGATACCTTAACCACTTTTAAGTATATAGTTCAGTAGTGTTAAGTACATTCACGTTATCACGCAGCCAATCTCCAGGACTTGTTTCATTCTCAAAACTGAAACCCCTTACCCATTAAACAACAGCTTTCCATTTGTCTGTCCCTCCCTCACTTCCCCAGCCCCCAACAACCACTCTTTTACTTTGTTTCTATGAATTTGACTACTGTAGGTACCTCATATGAGTGAAATTATACCATATTTGTGCTTTTGTGACTCACTTATTTCACTTAGAATAATGTCCTCAAAGTTGCTGTTGTTGTTTTTAAATAACAAAAACATAGACTCCGTAGGTAACTGAGCAAAAAAATGAATGGACACTTCATACTTGGGTACTTCAGATACAAATGTGAAAAGTTATCCAAAAATGTACCTTAACAAAGCTTTTGGTTATCAAATTAACCAAATTTTAAGAACTGCTAGTACTCAGTGATGATAATGAAACATCAAACACAATCTGATTCACTGCAGTTGGGAATATAAATTGGCATAACCTTTCTGACAAGTAATTTGACAATACATATATTAAGAACTTGTAATAACAAGCAGACCCTTTGGCCCATTAATTCTACCTTCTTGGAAGCTAGCCTAAAAAATAATCAAATATATGGGCAAAGATTTATGTTTAAAGGTGTTTATTACAGAGTAATTTATTATGCAGTTATTCTAGTTGGCAACAATGTAAATGTTTAAGTAAATTACATTTATATCCATGGTTCTAAATGTGGTAGCAGAAGGGCTGTATCTGAGTTTCTGGATAGAGTGTGTTCAGTTTGTAAAAGCATACTGTAAAATTGCCATTAAAAGAAGGCATAAGATTTGTATGTACATTGATGGGAGAATGGACTTTAAAATTGGGAATCAATTGGGAATTGCCAATTGGTATGATAGAATATTATACATATTTAAGTTTTTTTGTAATTTTAATGACACAGTAAAAGGTTCATGATAAGCCAAGAAGAGATGGAAACTTAAGATCAAAGAATGGCCTAAACCATAAAAGAAAAATGCATTTAAAAAAAAGACTTGAAGTTACTATGTCAAAATGTTAACAGTATTCACCTCAGGGTGGTGGAATATTTGTTACCTCTTTATACTTTAAGAATTCTCTGAGACAGGCATTGTTTTACTTTTGTATAATCAGGGGAAAATACACTGTAAAAATATACATTTTAAAAGATTAATTCCAAATATAATTAGAGCTATGTTAATCCTGCTAACAAGAATTCCATTTAAATTCCAGGGCTTTAGGATCAGATACAGGAGGATCAACCAGAAATCCAGCGGCCCACTGTGGGGTTGTTGGTTTAAAACCAAGCTATGGCTTAGTTTCTCGTCATGGTCTCATTCCCCTGGTGAATTCAATGGATGTGCCAGGAATCTTAACCAGATGTGTGGATGATGCAGCCATTGTGTTAGGTATTTATATGATTCCATATGGTTTCAAAACATTATGTTTGAACATTTTAATATAGTTTCATGGTAAAACACTATGCCTGTCACTCATCAGTATTTTTTTTATAGGTATACTAGCTGGGCATGACCCCAAAGATTCTACCACAGTACAAGATCCTGTTAAACCATTTGTGCTTCCCAGTTTGACAGATGTGAGCAAATTATGTGTAGGAATTCCAAAGGTAACTCTTTTACCACTTTACAAAAATACTGTCAAGTCAAATACAAAGCACAGACTTGGTAAATAGACAGATTGGGTTTGAATCCCTGCTCTGCCACTTTCATTAGCTGTGTGACCTAAGCACATGAGAGCAAGTATGTTAAATTACTAACCTTTTAAATTTTTAATCTTAAGCTTAGCAGTAATTTGTTGGATAATTTTTTGTTCTGGGAGACTGTCCTACCATCGTAAGATGTCTAGCAGCATCACTGGCCTCTACCTCTAGGGATAGCACCACCACCACAGCCCCACAACCAAAACTGTCTACTGCCATTACCAAATGTCCCCTGGCTGAGAGGAAGAGGACCCAGTTGAGACCACTGCTGTAGAGAAATACTACTGTCTTAAAATCTTCAGTTTAGGTAATAGGTGTGTCTACTTTTAAGGATTTAGAGAGAGCACAGATTATAGAAGCAGATCTAGTTTGGAATCCAGGATTCTCTATTTACCTGCTATGTAACATTAGGAAAGTGACTTAACTTGTCTAGTCTCAATAATTTTCATTAATAAAACAAAGGATGATAAAATACATACATCAGAGGATGGTTAAAAGCATTAAATGAGAGAACCTTTGAACAGTTATCTAGCAGAGTGCCTGATATATAATGAACATTTAATAAAAACAAGTTCTTCAACCAGGTCTGCAGTCTTTGATAGTATTTCTGTCCAGCCCACAAGATCTAGTCCTGTGCTCATCATGCCACATACACTCTTAAATCAGTTCAGTGTTTCTAGCTACCTACTAGCAATTTAATCAGATTTTCTAATGTACTGCCAGAGATTCTAGAGTACAGATTTTTATAAAACCATCTAGACAGATGTTCTAATTTCTGTATTTTTACTTTTTCCAATAAGGAATATCTTGCACCAGAACTGTCAAGTGAAGTACGGTCTCTTTGGTCCAAAGCCGCTAACCTGTTTGAGTCTGAGGGGGCCAAAGTAATTGAAGTCTCCCTGCCCCACACCAGTTTTTCGATTGTCTGCTACCATGTATTGTGTACATCAGAAGTGGCATCAAATATGGCAAGATTTGATGGGCTAGAATATGGTAAGATGCCTGTGTTTTAGATTTTTTTTTAATGGGGGTAGGTAATTAGGTTTATTTAACTTGATAGAGGTACTGGGAATTGAACCCAGAACCTCATACATGCTAGGCATGCAGCCTACCAACTGAGCTATACCCTCCCCACAACTGTACCCTCCTCGCTTTGGATTTCTAAGATTGTTGTCTCAAACATTTGAAAGGTTCACTTATTAGTGACCAAAAAAAAAAAAAATTGCCTGAGATAATATTAATGATTAAGCAAAGAAAATCAGTGAATC